AATAATTATGTCGATAACAGAATCATCGCATGTATTACGTGTAACCTGGGCGAGGCTTGGCAACAGAGCCTCTCAGTTTTAGAGACAAAGGGCCAGTCTCTTTCAATAGACGTTTTTTCACACTGTTTTTGATGCCATACCCTAAATACTTATTAAAGAAATGAGAACTAGTTGATTAACACGCAAATCTGCTAAAAACATGTTTACCGGTAATGTATCTCCAATTCAACCATGACTTTGGAGATGCAGCAGTGACGTGGGTTTGGATTCTTTGCGGGCATATTTCAGAGTAAAGAAGCATCTCTGAGGGTTCTGCACTTATTAAAACAAAAACAAAATACAAAAATCAGCAGAGGATCTAAATTCAAATTAAACGCTGGTTTTCATGATGGCTGGCGACCTTTAGCTTGCTGTCTATCTGAGGCCTGTATTTGAAATTTCTGTAAACCGAATACTCCATCTACTCAATCCCGATTTGTTACAATCGTATGGGTCCATCAGCATTTGGCTCGCAAAAGAGATGAAAAAAACTATATTATATTTTAGCACTGCTGAGAGTAAAACTGAAAGATTTCCACACCGGCCGAGTAGCTCGGGTCATTCATTTTCATTTCCTCGTGCGATCCCGCCACGCGTAACGCGGTTAAGCTCGCGTGGCCGACACGCGTGAGTCGTTAACTTTGCCCTCTTCTTGCGCAGTAACCTGGAACTTAGCGCAAAACCCTTTTTTGGGTGTCGTGCAAAAGAGGACAAGTAAATTACGACAACCGATCAAGATTCAAACGCTTGTTTTATGAGGTTTTTTATTTTCATTGTGTTAAACAGTAATTCAAATTTAAATTCTAAAAATATGTACTTATTCACAGGGACAGTAATTAAAGACAATATATTCATACAACACTAATTTTTCAGTTCTTCAATGCTTGTGGTTATCATAAAAAAATGCTACCAATTTTAGTGGAAACAATAAGCTACCTTGAACAAAATTATTTCTTCAATTTCTTCTGTTCAAGTTATAAAAAATAACTTTCTTCATCTCATAGAAATATCTGCATATCAGATATAAATGTATTATTATAATATTGTGAATTTCCTTGTAAAATTATTATTAATGAATCCAACTTATTTTACAAATATATTGCAATATATTTAGATCGTTTAAACATGATCTAAATAGTTACCTAAGTAGAGATAAGAGTGATCTAATTCTGGTGAATTGCACTCTATACAAGTATCCCAGAGAGCAAATTATTCACTGGTGACAACAAATATTTTAAATTAGAAAAACCCGTAAGCAGGGCCATATGCAGCAAAAGGAAAACCGAATTATTTCAACCTTGGTTAATTTGCATCAAAGTGGAAGGGGGAGTCTGGACCAAAAAAATTATTAGCCCAACAAATTTCAGTGAGCAAATTTGTATTGATTGCTTGTGAGGCCTAATAGAGATCAGAGATCAAGTCAGAGATTTCAAATGAGTACAAAATAAAAATAATAGGGGGGCTAGGGTTAGGATTAGGGAAAGGGGGGTTGACATGGGATCCAAGCAGGGTATGATAAGGTTAGGAACTGAGGGGGGTGGGTGGTGTGCATGTTCTTCTTTTTAAGGGATGCACTCAAAGAGATGATGAAAAAGGCTGTCTGTCATTTTAAACTGGTATCATTTAGAGGTCAAATTAAGCTTGAGCCACACCCAGATTGGTCTCCCTTCAGGGTTTAATTCCAATTTCCTGACAAGCATCCCCAACCTATTCAAATGGAAGTCTCCCCCCAAAGGGTTGAATCTATCATCTACATTGTGGATTATGTACTAACTAAAAAATTATCTTATTACAGGTTGTTAGCCCATTTCAATATTATCTGTCCAACTATCAATAACTAAGTTGCAGGGGTTGCATCTCCTCTTAAAGTTTTCAATTCAGCCTGCAAAACAAAATAATAATAATAGTGAACACCTCTGGATATTTAGAGGCTAAGCTGGTGGAAATTTAGAAGACTTGAGTTCAAACCCCAGTCAGACCACAATCCACTGGGAGAGGAGTGGGAGGGAGGGAGCGGGGGGGAGGGGGGTGCAGGGAAGTAGGATTCTGGGAGGAAGGGACAGAAAGTCTAGAGGTGGTGGGAGAATGGGAAAAGACAGAGATGAAAGCAGGATTTCCAAAATGGCAGGACCTGGAAAAAAGGGAATTTTTTTGTGGCATTGTGCACACACTGTAGGCGTAGGCCACAAAAGACAGGGCAGGAATTATGGTCAGAAGGAATTTCAGACCCCTTGTCCTCTCACAACAACAACAACAACAATCTTTATTCACACTATTCAAGAACAAAAGATAGGCAAGACAAAAAAGAAACTATAGAAAACGTAATGATAGAGATTATATAACTATATGTTCAATTTGAGTCTCAGTGTGCAAGAGCCAAAGTAGCAAAGTTTTTGAGTTGGCTGCTGCTTATTTACAAATAAAGAAAGAAAGGAATGAAGGAAACAAATAATAATTAAGACTAAACTAATTCACAAAGCAAGAAATAGAGATAACACTTTTATAAGAGACCTGTAAAATTAAAAATTTGGAAATACAAGAAACCAGAATTCTTGATGTTTAAATTTATGTTAAAAAGGCTCAAACATTGCAAAATTGTTGCATTCAGTACCTCAAATTGTACACACTTGGTTTTCAACTGTTCAATTTCTTCCTTCAGCTCAGTGTTTTCCTTTTCCAACACTTGAATCTTTCTTTCTGCTTGCATTTTCACTGACAGAACTATTCCTGTTGAAAATATTCAACTGCATAACTACTAAATCACAACATTAAACTTCCCACATAAAGGTTGCCCTGCTGAGTACTTTTTCAGGTTAAAATTTGGTTACTTTACATGTTATATAAAATCAGTTATATAATACAAATCAGTCATTACCGTTGACAATTCTTGTGACACGCCACAGTCGAAGGAGAACAATAAGACTTATTCCATCTACAGCTCCCTCCTCTCCACTAAAAGAAGAAATAACCTGTATATGCTCATGAAGGAGCCTTAATCTTTTCCTTCCTAAGCTAAGTTATCAAAAATAATTTCTCGTTTGATTAATTTCTTTGACACATGACTGTATGATGTACAACATTAGTTCTAAGAATGATAGAACATGTCAGTGGCAGATCCAGACCTTGAGCTAGGGAGGGGGGNNNNGTAGTAAGAGAGATTACAGACGTTTCAGGCTAAGAAAAGTCAACTACAGGACTGGCTTAGTTTGAATCAGTAAAATTCAAAATAATTTGATGGCAAAGTTACCCAAGTTGGATATTTTCTCTTTTTCCAGTATTAAAGGAGTTGTAAAATAAGGTAAATAACAACAGGAAGTTTCTTTTTTTATTTGGAGTGATTGTGACAAGCTGCCATGACAATCTTCAACTTGATATTCAAGTTAAAAATCCTTTCCATATAAATCAATTAGCAGGTAAGACAGAAAATAAAGTTATATTTAAGTTGCTAATTTATACCTCAATCATGAAGATTGACAGGATGGCAATACTGATGTAATGCAGGACATGTGGTGCAGGGTTGTCATGGTGAACTGCAGCAAGAAGGATACAACTACTTGTTAAACGCTACATTCACATCTGAAGGTGAGACCAATTTTGTATCTATGAGTCAATTAAGTCTATGAGTCATCAGCTTAACTGACCATTAAGCAAACAAGAGTACCAGGCATTCAGGTTAATAATGATTTGGAATGCTATGAAGACTAACTCAGTGAAGCACTTTTAGTTTTCGACTAACCAAAATGTTAGACTAACCGAAATATATGTTTAATTTAGGCAAACCAAAGGGTAAATTAACCAATTGACTCATAAATTAGGGAAGCTGTCAGACAAATATAAGGGAAACTTTGAACAGGAAAGCACACACTTTACAGACTGACATACACACAAAATTAAATTAATAAAATCATAAATAAAATTTATACAGCCTATGAAATTTGTCCATTAACATTGGATCCCCATACAAATACTGTTCAGTATTTACTTCAATGCTATCTTGTTACAAATCATATATCCTGAAATAAATGTTTTGATAGCAAAAGTGGGAACTCTGATACTACTTTATATATTATAATGAAATCATCCTGAAAACCACTTGACAATGGTATCAATGATGTCTCCTACCTTCAATAGCTCTTAAGTCCAGAAGTAATTCTGCAATAACAATGATCATATCTATAACAACCAATGCTATGATGGCATATTGAGCTTTGTGACTGTGAAGAAGTTCACAGAGTTGTTCTCTGTGTCCGTTATTTGACCTATAAAATAATCAGTAACAACAAAACAATGAGATTTGATGTATCTTTTGATAATAATTATGAAACCCTAACTAATGTATTTGAATAAATTATGTACATATATATTTTTTTCTAAATTTAGTTAAAACCCCTTTTCCCTCTCCAGTTGATGCAATGTAAACATTTTTTAAGTCTGNTTCAATAGCTCTTAAGTCCAGAAGTAATTCTGCAATAACAATGATCATATCTATAACAACCAATGCTATGATGGCATATTGAGCTTTGTGACTGTGAAGAAGTTCACAGAGTTGTTCTCTATGTCCGTTATTTGACCTATAAAATAATCAGTAACAACAAAACAATGAGTTTCGATGTATCTTGAGATAATTATGAAATCCTAACTAATGTATTTGAATAAATTATGTACATATATATTTTTTCTAAATTTAGTTAAAACCCCTTTTCCCTCTCCAGTTGATGCAATGTAAACATTTTTTAAGTCTGCGAAGGAAACCCTGGAAATGAAGGCTTACATGGAATACAATTGAGAAGCACATTCTATAGTTGGTTCCTACGTCAGATTCTGTGGATGAAGCCTTTTGTACTAGCTTTTTCTGGATGATCATTTCAGTGATACTGCTTACATGTTACACTGTTACAAGTTCGTTCACTACAATTTTGCAAAATCAAATGATGTTTGACATTTGTCCCTCAGTTTTCAAGTTAAAGTTAGAACCCACGGTAGTGGTTGATTAAATGTTAAAATTTTCAGCTGACAAACTATTATTAGTACATGTACGTCAGCTTCTAGACGACCAAAAACACTGGAATTAGAGAGTTCAAAACAGAAAACTGTTTATACCCTTCACTGTCATCTTCTGTCAGATTCACTGTGCTCTCTGTCACCGCAGAGCTGTCAGTAGCTTGTTCCATCTCGTTTAGATCGGGAAATGACAGTGCATCGTTAGCAACAAGTCTCTGATCATCAGGTTCTTACATTGATAAAGCTCAGTCGTGCGTGTGATTTGTGTCACACAACAACAGCTTCACCCAGAAGTGCTTGAATCTTTAGAAATATGGAAAACTGATTGGCTAAGAGCTACCATGAGATGTTGCTCTCGTGAACCAGGTTGATAAAGTAATCCAATACCTTTTACTAACAGTGCTTGAAAAGACTCCAAACTCCCGCCAGACCACCTTTTATTGACACTTTGCAAGGCGTTCCTATCAGCTTTTGCAGGGAGGTCTGGTTACCACTTTGTCACGGCACCTAAAAACAAACATGGCGGACCGAGGAGGTGTTTTCCATTCTTTTTAATTTGAACTAAAAACTGGGCTTGTTAGCGATATAATTTCTCTGGGAGTATCTCTTGCTTTTTATCCAAAAATGGCAACATTTGAAGAGTTTGAGGTATGTAATTTTCTCATTTGAAGGCCTTTTAAGAATACAAAGTTGAATCTTTCGTCCTGTAAGTGCAAAATCATGTTTCAAGGAAATAACACCTCAAACTGCTTTATTGAAAATTGCTTTCCATTTACTTTTTAGAGAAATGCATTTCAGTAAATAAATTAAATGCAACAGCTGATAAAAAATTATAATAATAGTAAGTCACTCTATTTAAGTGACAAAGTTTCTAAATCGATGTAGAAGGTATATTGAGATCGAACCTCCCGACGATATCAGTCAATGAAAATCAATCACTCAATCAATCAATAGTTCAGTAATAATCGATATTAATCAATGGCAATTAATTTGTTGATATTGGAAATCATTAAAAATCAATAACTGAAAGTTGTGTGAGTATCGATTTTCATTGATTCATATTGATTTCAATTAACAAATATCATGGATTACTATTGATTATCATTGCACTCTTAATTTTCAGTAAATTTTCAGCGAATTTTCCGTAAAATGCGTAATATATGAAAGGTGAACCATATTAAGAAGTAAAACCTTATTTGCATTTGCTTTCGACGCACATTTACATCCGTTACAACAATATAGTTTCGTCAAAATGTGTGTTAAACTAAAAGTAAATTACTTTTTCTTTTTCTATAAGTATTACTGCCTTGACTTCGACATTTCGTTTCACAAAGATATTCAAAGCATCAAATGATTTTGAAATAAAGTTTATTTGCTGTGACAGAAACATTTATATTCAGTCGAATCTTGTAACTTGAAACTCACCAGGGGAACTGCAAATAAAATAAACAAATTTTAAATGACTGCAAATAAGGGAAACTTTGAGTTAATGACTTCTAACTAGCGATGTTCGACTGTTTTGAGACTGAAACCTAACAACATCTCAAAAGGACATTTTATTACATACTCTTTTCGTCATCTATTTTCAATTTTCTTTATCTTTTGCATGAGCCTGATGCATAAAATACAGATTTTCAGCTGAATTTTGCCAGGAATTTCAGTTCACATTAATTAATGACAAGTTATAATCTACCACATAGTTTTACATCACTTGACAGGTTTTTCCGGGAGGTTGTAAACACCTTCAATCGAACCTAGTAGTTCTGCGTTGATTATTTATTTGGTAGTGCAAAGCTATAGCTATAAACAGATTTATGTTTATGTATTACCTTACTTGAGCATCTTGGTAAACTAATTTTGATAAAAATTGAAATAATCTCTTGGTTATATCGATTACTTTTTAAGTTTACGCCTGAATTGTGAAACCCCCATGAAACCCCACTCCTAGCCTCCCACGCAGAACTCCTGGGAGAACTCTGGCTATCAAACAACACTTAACTTTCATTGTAAGTTTTAGTATTATTTAATGAGGTTTCTCCAGAAAACACGACGGGTTTCATCAAAGAAAAATGTTTATGTAGCCTACTCTGTTTTTTCTTGGTTGCTCCGGCTTCTAGTTTATCTAGAGTCGACATAATGAATGTCAAAGTGGCATCCATTATATGTGCAAGTCTCCTGTGTTTTGCCAAACTCAAATTTTTACTTTTGCACAACCATTTATTGATATCAATAAAAATCAATGAAAATCAATGGCAATTAAGACATTTTGAATGTGAGTATCGATTGTTATTGATTGGTCAGACCAATCAATATCAATCAATTAATTGCTATTGATTATTTTGATTATATTGATTGGCAATCAATGATTGATTTTCATTGATTGATATTGTCAGGAGAACCTGCAAACCTTTTAGAGTCTTAAAATGTTAGGTGGACATTTTCTCGATACCAAACAATAACGATTGACACAAATCACTCATGCAGTTACACCCTTTGCTCCTTATAATCACAATATAGTAATGTAAGCTTATTTTTAAGTTACTTGGATATACAAATATGGAAATGCAATCCTTTAACATGTCTTGTGCTTGGTGCATCTGATCCAGGGCTGTTATTTTAAGTGCTGTAATCCATAACCCATAACACCAGCTGTGGCTAAGTATCCTCAAATATGGGTTTTTGGTGTTACAATAATTGTAACACCAAAAACCCATATTTGAGGATATTATTGTTGATATAATTATAATTCACCAACAAAGCAACAAGTTGGTTATGAGCCTGAAGATCAAGTCAACAGGCAATTCAAAATTTAATGACATCCCTATATGTTATCTAAATTCTAAACTTCACTATATAAAAATGTTAAGTCCGCATGTTTGACCTAGTGACCCATCCAGTTGGTGTTTAGTAGCATGAAGTGACTTGGAATATTACTACTCCTTTCTTGATGGAAGACTAGCTCAGGGCTACCTCCAGCAGTTAATATACCACTTCTGATTTATACAACTACTAGGTGGAGAAAATTACTGATGAGCTAAGATTTGTTAAAATCATGTTCTTTCTTCCTTAAGGGAGATTTTGATGCTTATGAATATGTGGAGCGTCTTGCAAGCACAGTGGTTGGTGGAGGGTCAAAGGGTGGAGCAGAGGCATTTGATCCTAAAACCTTGTCCGATGTTTTTGAAAAAACTATAAAGGAATTGACAGCTTTGGATGAAAAGATGCAAGGAAGAATAAACAAACTTGAGGAACTCTGTGCTAAAGAACAGGAAGAACACAAGCAGAAAGCCAAAGAACTGGAAATAACTTTTAAGGTGCTATACATGTAACTAACATGCAAATGTGGTTTCTGTAATGAGAGATCTGTTCTATTGTACATGTGTATGTTTTTTTCTGCAGTAAGCTGCATATTTTACAGGGGAACAAGTGACAGTTTTAATTTTTGTGTCTCTTGGATTTGAGTATTGCTTTTAGTCCTGCCAGAAATGGTGCTTAGTAATATAAAGACAGCCATTTTTTAATTTGAATGAAAAAGATTTATAAAAAGTCTCCTAATTATTTGAATTGATAATCACCGGTCTTACTATGACTGTTTAGTTCTAGCTGGCAGTTTGTATACTTCATTGCCTGCTCTTTTCTGATTAGGTAATATGACAGGGAATTGATTGGGCAAAGTTTGTGGGTGAGCTCTGTTTAGGATTAGTTTTGGGTTGTTGTTGCAGTTGTTTCATGTAGATCCTCGTCTTACCATTTTGATCATCAATGTAAGGGTCACTAAAACTAACAAAAACTTAGAGGCTTTGTTTGAACGGATTTACTTGTATTTTAGTTTACCACGAAGCTAGCCTTCAGTGCAGGTGTATTTTGGGTGCATGAGTGCACATTTTCATATTATGTGGCCATCTTGGATTTGGTAACTGTAGAGGGTTGGGGTGAGAGAAAATTTGCCAAGGGAGTAGGAGTGAGGTGGAGTGCCCCATTCCCCACCCCCTCAGCCTCAATCCTCCATTAGTCAACCATCCAATTACAATCCAAGATGGTGAGATCAAAATCCTGGTTTATCAAGTGTTCCATTCCAAAACAACGCCTTCACTGCAGACTACCATGAAGCTTACATAACGTGTAATCAGGGATCAGTAAGAATTATTTTTATTTTTAAGTTGAACTTATGAAACAAAATGTTTTTCTAGCAAATTTTGGGGTTTCTCTCTTCATCTGTAGTCTGCCTCTGGCCTTTTTCAAGAACTAGATGACAGGATCAATTATGTTGCCACCAAGGTTGTTCATTTGGGAGACCAGTTAGAGGGAATCAACACTCCACGCTCACGAGCCCTTGAGGCTCAGGAACTCATGAGGTACTTTGATGAGTTTGCCACTGGAAAATTGGTTTCAAGTGTTTTTACAAGCCAATTTCAGGTACGTTTAAGATTAATTATCCTCATAGACTCTTGAGTAGTGAGAGTCACTGTAAACCAGAGTGCAGTGAAGTCTCAGGCCTGCCCTAGTACCATGGAGGTATTAAGATAACCTGAGATGAGCAGAATCCTGTTCAGAGTAAGGCATTCAGCCAAAATTCCAGAAATTCCATGACACAATCAAATGGAATGAAAAGGTTTGAAAAGTTTGTTTTAAAAATTGTATTCAGACAGGCAAAAATTTCCCACCAAAAATTATGTTAAATTTTTGCGCTTTGCTTTGCACTATCCACTCCTCAATTACATTGGAATCAGGATGGTACAAGAAATTAATTTATTTTACAGAGTTTGTTTAGAAACACACAGTTATGGATCAATCAAATTCAAATGTTCATTAAGTAAGTATTTAATTTTTAAGTAATTACTACTAATGTTTTTATTTCTTGTCCTGTAATTAGAAATCATTTAATATTTTCTTTGTTAAGACCCTTCAAGGAAAGATAATGGAGCCTCTTCTTTTATTTGTTTGATTGCAGATTCATGAAGCTGCAAATATCATACAAAAGTTGTCCCTGATTGCTCAAGAACTGCCTTCAGATAGGTATGAACGATCTGTGTACAAAGTTTACACTGAATTTCTGAATTGTTCTTTTTGAACTACATGTTAATTTGCACAGTGAACAAAATGACAACTGAAAAGTCAGACGTTCTTTTGTTTGAAGGTTTGGGATTGTCAAAGACAAAATAAAAGGTAAGTACAGTTCTGATTTCCCATGTTTGTATATATAGCCCTTCACCTTTAACAAGAAGCCACACCCAGCATCTTAAATGCCACTATCCTAACAGTAACTAAGATTTGGTTTGAACATAAAAACGTGAGCTGTTAATGCCAGGGTAGTGGGTAAATAAATGTATTTATTTTTTTTCCAAGAAAGCATGGTAATATATCCTACAATCTGATTGATTTTAAGTGTGGTCTGGATTTTCCAATCCTTGCCAGTTCAAAAATTATAAAAGTGGTTTGAGAGAGAGGAAAAAATAAATAAGTTTTTTTACTGGCTATGGTTGGTCCATAGAGTGACCTTAGGCTTGAAAATGCCACCTCCAGCCTGCAGCCTCAGGCAGCATTTTCAAGACCTCTGTCACAGTTTTTCACTATATGGACCTCCCAACCAGGGAATAAGATATATTTATTTTACCTTGCATTGATATATACAGAGTGCCATGATAAAGTGGAAGAGGCTCTGANTGTAATGTTAACTCCATCTCTACAGGGCTACTCCCAGTGTATTGATTCTTTTATCAAGCAAAGTCAAAAGGTATTTACCAAGTATTCAATTTGCTTTACATTGCTAAGTCTTCGAGGGCAAATAATGTAATTGTAAATCTTCTAGTCACTCAAACCTTTATCTAAAGCCTTGTTATGGATGCTTCGAAAGTGCAAAGAAGCAGCCACCATTTTGTTAACAACTCCACACTGAGCTGGACTACTCACTATTTACAACTTACAGAATTGATAGTGTGAGTAGTGTAGCTAATAAGAAAATGGTATCCATGATAGAATGCTGCTAGATTCATACCAATGCTCAATAACTTTCATTTAAATGACCTCGTACATTTTCTATTTAGTGTTTTAGTCACAGACCCAAAACATGGAGTTGCAGTACCTTGCATAGAATAATTAATGCTACTTTTAAGTATTGCTCAATTGCTTTTATTTGAATGAACACACACAGGTACATATATTTTTGACAATCTTATCCTAATGCTTAGTTAGAATAATCTTGTAGTACATTTGATGAAAAGTACAAATAATAGAAGTACAGCACAATAGATTTAATTTTAATGATTGCATTCTAGGGTTTGATTCACAAGTTTTAGGATAACTCTTACTAATTAATTCAAAGAGCAGCTTGCAACTAAAATCTGGTTGTATTTAATAGATTCCTAAATTAGAAATTATCTGATTAATTTTTTTTTGTTCCAAAAGAAAGTGGCTATCATAATAAGATAGTCTTGAAGTAAGACTGCTCTACCTGTTTGGTGTAGGTAAATAAACAATAGTCTCCATTTGGCACGAAAATATGCTGCAATATTTGTCCATGGACATTATCTGTTCCAAGAAGCGAACACTTTGCTCAAGGAAATCTGTGAGCTTCAAGGAACAGAAAATGTCCAAGGACAAATATCTGAGCTTATTTTCAAAGTCAAATGGAGACTATTGTGTTTATTATCCTTCAAATATTTTTTGCAACTCACGCAGTTTCGAAAATTAGGAAATATTCTCGGATATTCCCCAGTTTTAGCTGGGTAATATTTGGTCATGTGACACGTTTAAGCCACTTGCGCTCAAGCAAAAATATTTGATGGGTTATAATGTTAGTTACTGCATGTGTGTAATGTTTCACTAGGGGCAGTTCCGTGCTGCAGATGTGTTTCAAGATGTGATGCCGCTTTGTGAACGTGTTCACAGCGTGGTGGACAAGGTGTTTGGTAATAATGCTGAGGTTGTAATGGGCAAGATGGTACAGAATATTCACGAGGATGTTCTAAAGGTATGAAAAACTCATGCGTGGGATCCTTCGAGGCTGATGATTAGCTTGGTTTCAGTAGAATGAAGCAACTAGGGGTATGTTTTACTCTCCCTAGATGGGATGCCAGTGCATCACTGGGTTATCCCTCAGCATTTCATTTGCCAGTACCCATTTATACATATTTGGGTGGATAGAGGCACTGCAAGAGTTAAGTGCCTTGCCCAAGAACACAATACAGTGTCCCCAGTTAATGGTAAATGGCCAAGATTAACCTTTTACTTTCAAAGGATACATGAACAAATATTGCTAACCTGAAGCACGAATGCCTTATTCATAAAATTGCAAACCAGAGCTTATAGTTCCTTAAAGAAATTGGATTTTACAATTTTGTTTGTTACAGAAACATGTTGATTCAAAGCTACAGAGCTATGGTTCAGACAAAGAACAATCACTGAAGAACCTACAGACATTATATGAAAGGTAATTCTCAGCATGGAAATTCTCCTTACTGATTACCACACTTGTCTTTGAACATAAGCTCTGAGAATTTATCAGTACATTGAGAAAATATCTTCTAGTTGATATTTTGCTTTACTTTTTTCTTTCGGTGTGCTTGACAATACAATATTGATAGTTTCTTTTATGAATGAGCTTTTTTACTGCCTGCTCAGAGTTAAACTTCAAGTCAATAAATTTGGTTTTAACTCTAAGGTGATAAGCCATAAATTCTTACAGAGTCATTTGTGTACAGTTGCTACACTTGCCTTTGTAAGCCTGGTTTGTACCCGGGGTGGAGGGCGGGGGGCCTCCTGTATAAAAAGGATGGGGGTGCTCGTTAGAAATTTGTAAAAGAACCCTTACGAGGTACCAAGGTCTTGTTTTGTGGTTGTGGCTTAAATTTTGTTTTTTCCACCCCTAAGAGGTACCAATTCTAAAACAACACACCATGTCCTGTCATATTTTTTTCTGCTCAATACCCTAAAAGGTACTGCAAAAGCTCCTGTTGTGGACGTTTTTGAGGCTGAACACCCTAAGAGGCACCAAAACTGCTTTTTTAATCCCTAAGAGGTATGACAAGCACCCCTGTCATTTTTATATGGGAATTCCCCGCCCCCCCTCCGGAAATTGGTAAACCATCTACACTTTTATGGAAATAGGAGGGTATTCACTTGATATTCTCTCCCATATCCTTTTTTTTTCTGCAGGGCAAAGAAGCTTGGAGAAAAACTGTCTGTTTACAAGCTTGGATCAGATTCTAATTTTCTGGAAAGATTGAGAAAAAACTTGTTCAGCAAATATTTGTCATCATATATCAAGTAAGTATCTATACTGTTTAAAAATAAAAACCAGGGAATGGTTTCCAGCCCTTAGCCAATCATACAGCTTTTTAAATATCAACCAGTGTGTATCAAGCACCGTTATTCCCCTGCAATGGAGTTGCAGTAAACTATGAATCTCATGTCCACCATCAAAATAGTAAGAGCTCTAAACAAACAAACTGTTGATTTAGTCATCCTGTTTTTTTTCTGTCTACCAGAACAGAGCTAGACTTCCTATCAGAGAAATCAAGTGCTATCTTAGAGAAGTATTACCGTTCTATAAACCATGAAAAAAGAGATAGACCTACTGGAGCAGGGTACGTTAATTGTAATCTACATTATACAACTGAATTATGTGATGAGTTTTGATGATGACAGCTATGTTTTCCCATAGCATCTGTCTTCTTTTCTTTCAACTTTCAGGTGTNTATTAGCTGGTGTTTTCACCTGATCTGACCGTTTTCTAAGATGATCTACCACACTGTGGAACGATCAGACTTTCGTAACCGCATACGTTAAATCCCAACCTTCCTTTATTTCTTCTTTTTCTTTGAACAAAGAACAAATTCTGAATCGTGACGAAATATTACACGAAGAAATAATTGAAGGTATTAAGCCTACTAGAGGGGGTATTTCAGGTAATCAAATATTGAAAAACCATCCCTGTCGATCAGGGATTAGATTTTGTATTTGAACTGGAACTTACGGATGTCCGAACCGCTCGATTTTGCGCACTCGGCTATGCCGCGCGCGCTTGTACTCTAACTTGAGCCTGCTCGCAGGCTACCCAAGTTTAGACTCCAGGTATTTCATGCTAGTTTAACTTGTTATCTCACCACAGGTCTTCACCCGTGTATGCAGACTGTGTCCGGAAAAAGAAAGAGGTGATGGGTATGATGGAAAGTAAACTGGACTCCGGTATAGACCGGTAAGCAGTCTTGATAATAAAGCGCGCATCTCTTCTCCGCAAGCTTGCCAGTGTTACCCACTGCTTGGATTATGAACCTTGGTAGACAATTATTTTGCTGAAGGGAATTGTGTACATTGAGGAAATTGTGGCAAAATTTCATGGCATACCAGCAGCGTGTTTAAAGCCAAGCGGGATAGCAGAGTACGCTTCCACGGTCTACCGTGCTAGTTTGATCCAGCTGTGTTTCGTATTTTGACGAGACGCTGGCAAGACAAAAAACCCTTGGCGAGATCATACGAGCCTGATATGCATACGAAGCGTACTAAAAAGGCTCGATTACTACTCAAATTTGGCCAAAAATCCAGCCATATGAGTTTAGTGTCTTGATATCGAACGAAATCTGAACAGTTTACAAGGCCTGTGGTTGGCTAATTGCGAATTTAGGTGCGGTAGGTACACAAAGTGGGTGCTGTTACACATAATCTTTAAGCATGTTAGAATTAAGAGACCAGTAGATGAAGACAGTGCCTATAGTTGATGATATTCTATATTCTTATCACCTGCCTTCTTGATGATGTGTTTATTTTGTGAGGAGAATTTAGATACTGGTCAGTGTAGTGTTGTGATTTTTGCGGATTCTCCTCTGCAGGATACTCACTTCAATGACAGGCTGGATAAAGAATATTATGTCAACAGAGCAGAAGAAATCCGACTTCAGACCCGAGGAACACGGAGTAGGACTCGTGGAACGGACAATGGTAATGGATTTATCTTGGAACTTGAAAGAAAGCATTTATAGAAAAAAAATTACATATTGTTCGGCCACACAATAAGTGAGAAGTTTTTGTCTTTTCCAGCCACACGGTGATGTTACACGACAGCATGGTGGTTTTGGTCGGATAGAGAAGTTTTCAATTGAGTGTCATCAAACCAAAACCAAAACCAAGCCAATTACTTACCAGTTAGAGTCAGTACTCAGTCAATCTCAAACCGTAGTGAAACCAAAACTAGAACCAAAGTAATTTTCTGATTAATTTCGACACTCAATTGAAAACCGCTCTGTAGTTCAGTTTTAGGTGTAGTAGTATGCTCGGAAAGGTGTGTAAGTTAATGTTAAGTGCTGTTGTTCTTGTGTACTGACATATGTCATCCTTCATGTATGAGATCGTTACGCTTTTCCCTGACTACGCAAACAACTCTATTATCATGTTCTTCTGCTTAGACGTTTTACTGGTCGGGCTTTCGTATGAACGCCCTAGATGACTGAAAGAAGGGCTTTCTTTTTTCGCCGTCGCAGATAACACACGTACTCATAATCGGGTTTAGCTATGCACCTGTCACGAAGAAAGATGAGGTGTGGGATAACTCGACTTCACGAATCCCGCTTTTTTTAAATGAAGTTACGGTAATCTATGTAGACGACTTTTATCTACTGTTCGGTTATCGGCACCCTTCAATATTTCACTCATAAATCTATTCGCAGTATTTACTTTAAAAGATGGCGAGCGATTTCGGAAAGGGTTCTCCTGCGAACTCCTGCGATACAATCACTGCAGGACAGGGAGCCCCCACATCCGTTTAGAATATGAATAAAAGATCAACCTACCTTTCTCGGTCTGTTTTGTGTTTTGTGGCGACCATTTAAATTTTTTTTTAAACGCGCGCGGTCTGCTAGTGCGAGGTCTGAGACCGAAATTACGGAAATCGCTCGGAGCCTGCTCGGAGCTGACCTCGCACTTGTAGACCGCTTATTTAAAATTTAAAATGGCCGCCACAAAACACAAAACACGCGCGATAAAGGTAGGTTGATCTTTTATTCATATTCTGAACGGATGTGAGGGCTCCCTGTTTTGTAGCAGAAATATGAACAGAATTAATTCGAATAGACAGTCGGTTGAGAAATGTATGGCTATTTACGGTGTGTTAGACACCTCTGTCGCTGACATATTGTAGCTAGACGACAGAAACAATACATCACGAGACATTGTAATCTTATACTGTAAAGAAGTCGAGATCCGGATGCGGAAAGAGCCTTTTTTGCTAGGACTGCCGCATTTCGGTTGCGGTGCGCCCCTCTGCCTGTAGGAATTCAATTGATACAGAATAGTAAGTAGGTATGAGTAAATCGCTTTGTGTTATTCTGTGATTGCAGGCGTGTGCCAAGACCTGTGATTTCGTTTACTCTCAGTTGACATCTATCCAGGGCTCACTGGATGGAAAGAACTTGGAATCGGTTCTGACGGAGTTCGGCACGCGATTTCACCGTCAGTTGTTTGAACATCTACAACAGTTTCAGTACACGTCAATAGGTTAGCAGTATTCGTTTTACCGTCTCGTCTCCTTGTTGCTTTTTTCTTTTGTTTCTGTAATTTCTAGGTGGGAACCCAGCGTGTCTGCTTGTGAGGACAATAGTCTGTGACTAGTGTGGAGGTTTTGGGGTCCACACTCTCGTGTTTCACGGGGGAAGAATTGCCCCTGCTAAGATAGCTCCCACCCCCTCTCCCCCCCTCCTGGAAGGAACGTGTCTTTTTACTCCGACTGCATGAGGAACAGTAGGTACGTTGTATTAATGGTCACTGACCTAACGCTGGTCTCTACGGGGAAGCTCCGTTGCGTGACGTCCCAAAAAGGGTGTAACAAACCACGACGGCAATAGTAACGAGAAACTCACCAACCAGAAAGTTCATCAAATGGACAGACGCGTTATGCAGAATAACAATCGAACAAATTCTGCATACTTTGGAGAACGTGAACTACAACGGCTAGTATTTCGTATTTTTAGTCACAACAGAACACTGTCATTACAGTAACTACATATTCTATAAAAGGTGTGGTCCTCACCGTCACCGTCGTTATTACTTAAGTTCCCAAAAAAGATAAAGAAAAGACTAGATAACATCCTTTGACCAGTTACACGGTGTTGTAGGACTAAAGATGAGAATAACTGAATTCCAACAATCTACAAACATTTCGTCATGGGAGACTTTTGAACAGTGTTGTTGCTTTTTGATTTTAGGAGGAATGGTGGCAATCTGTGACATCAGTGAGTACAGAAGTTGTATTAAGGCGTTCAAGGTACTAGTTTATTTAAGATCGAACTTTTTCTAGGATCCCGAATAATCGACAAATTCTGATGACTAGGAGGCACCACGCGGAATGATCAGTAGAGCTCGAAAATTGTTCTCATCACTTAAATGATATACTCTAAATGAGAATTATTCCTCGTTTTTCAGATCCCGCTGCTAGTAAAATTATTCGACAAGTTGTACTCACTAACGAACTTATTGGTCGTTCAACCTGAAAACCTCAAGCAAGTTTGTTCAGAGGAGCAGTTGGTACGTTTGTATATGCGCGCATGTACGTGCGCGTTGTTGGTTTTCGCCCGCATTGCTGCAACACTATGTCATTATTTTGTTGTCAAATCTCTTTGTTCTAAGACTCCTTAGCATCTTTTCCCTGCTTATAAATATAAACACGTTGTAAGAAAAGTCCGCATGAACTACAGTTGAACGCCGCTATCTCGAACTCTTAAGGGAAACGAAAAATAGTTCGAGATGTCGGGAGTTCGAGAAAGCCGATAGTATGTGACTGAAAAAATGTAATAAGGGACAATGATTGAGTTCCAGATAGTTTTACTGTATTAGATATACTGCCACATTCTCGGCAGAACCAATACTGCAATGTAGAGTTGGCAATCCGTTGGCGCGCCTGGGTTGGAAATGCTAGTCCGTGCGGGTATGTGTCTAACTGAAGTTTATCCTATTGTGTCTCTTAGGCAATGCTGGACAAAGCTGTTCTTCAACAGTTTGTACAACTTCGAGTTGACTACAGAACTGCCAAACTTGCCAAACACTTCATGTGAAACTAAAATTGACTTCTTCACTGATCCTGTTCAAATCAGTGGACCTGCTCATTATTCAATGACACAAGTGAACCAAGGCTCACTTCATCCGGTAACAGGGGAGACTGAAACGTGGAAACGAATCATTTAGTTATTTTTTTTAGGGGCTTCTAATTCCTTCTCGCTGAATCATGATGTCATTATGTGACGTCACAGGTTGATAAATTCCTTCCCAGTTTCTTTGTGCAGTCACCAAAGAGAGGACGTCTACGGACTAGGCTTTGAATCATTGTACTCTAAAAGGGATCAACATTTGATTTCTCTTTACAATTTCAATACAATGTCAAGATGTAGGTAACGAGAATAAACTATTTTATTACCAGAAGGAACTGGTTAATAAGGCTATAAGCAACGTGAAACGAAATTTGAATTTGAACTTCATGCTATCAAGGGTTAATTTTGCCAATCACATCACCGCAAAGAATTATACTTTTATAAGAGGGATTTTTAACACCTCGTCAGTTCTTGACAGACTTGCTATGCTAGAAATCTTCTCTTGCCGATTTATTAAGCCCGGGCAGAATAAGAAAGCCGGCTTGATAAAGTGAACACACTGTGCGGTACCACGCATTCTGTTCATCAGTCCCTCTTACCTTCTTTCATTTCGCCAGCTACTTCACTGATCGTTTCCCTCACAGCTTGTCTCCTTTCACCTATCTTTCAGCAGTATAGAATAGAATTTAGAGAGGAGTTAGAGTAAAGAACGGAGATTGCAGACTGCAAATAAGCCATTTCTGGCGCTCTTTCAGGTATTTTCCCGTAGGCTATTAACATAACTGTAACACTGAAGGGAGGATAACCCATTCTATTATCCTTGGTTTAAGACATCGAAAGAAAAGTTTGGCTGGAGGATAAATAGATGTCACTTTATGAAGAGCGATTAGAACCAAGTATTGCTCAGTGATGCTGTCAACGAGAGAAAAGTGTTCAGGGCTGCGAGAAATACAGCCTGGGCTAGGGGTGACGGTAATATGCCTAGTAACTGTAATCGATCGTGCTTGAATATGTTCTGAGTTGCATCTTCAGCAGCTATGTTCGCCATTTGTTCTTCATGGTCAGCTCTTAGCCTTTTGCAAGAAAATAGGAAGGGCTGTCAGTTACCCCCCAAAAAAGAACTTCCCTTCTCCTTTGTGGTTTTAGTATATGTAACAGGACTACGTGTTGCCCAATTTGGAGTTAATTGGATGAGAAGACTACCAAAATTGGACTTGGCCGCAGGCCAAGTCTTTGGTAGTCTTTGAAACTTTTGTCTTCCAATTATTTTTTACGGATTGGACTCACTGTTCCACCCATC